TTTTATGATCCTGAAGCAGTGAAGTTAATCATTATTTAATTTTAGATTACTGAACTGAAGATTTACTTCAGACACAAGCTCACTTTCCACATAATTTAGTCTCAGTAATTAGAGATGTACTTTACCCAGAGGTGGCTTGTTTAAAGCGTGTTATCTAATTTCACAAGCCTTATGCCATGAAAGTTTTGTGCAGAAATCTACAAATCAAACTTCAAAAAGAAAACCCCCAAAGAAACACAGATTTATCAGACTGCAAAAGCGGTTTTCCTTAAAAATAAAAAAAAAACCAAAGAAAAAAAGTATTCCTCAAACATCTGCTCAACAAGTCAGATGTATCACAAAAGCTAAAACAAAGCATTTCTTTAACCCACCACTGCCTTCAGCAAAGTTTAAAACCATAACAACGAAAAATACTCTTTTCACACAAATCACTTCCTTGACAGCTTATTTTAACCAGGATGTAAGGTCTACAGGAAAATGTGCGTGTCCATTAGGATGCCCAGCAGGTGTCTGCCACAGGATGTAACCAGTACTGAATCATTCAGACACTTAAAGACTTCTGTGACGGTGTTCTCAGAGGAACAGAAATGAAGACCAGGCATGTACGTTCATACCATACATATTTACCCTGGATATCGTTACCATTCGAAAACTGCTCAATTCCAGCCTACTTCAGACAAATTTGCGTAAACATGCTGTTGAAACCAAACCATATGAGGAAATGCAAGTTAGCCATTCAGCTAGCTACTACCCATCTAGCTCAGCTTTAAGTCTGTTTACGGTTAATGGCATCCCCAGCTGCCAGTCCATCCAGGCTGGCACATTGCCCAAGGCCAGTTTTATGTCAAAACACGTTTGCTGGTTTTTGGAACAAAGGGTATCATCTTCCACCGCCGCCATCAAGAGAGAAGGAAAACAGATGACCAGGCAAGTATTTTAAAAACATACACCGCTTTTTACAACTCTGTCTTCAAAATTGTCAATCAGAAACAGTGCACGCAACTGCTCAACACTCAATTAAATTCAACCATATTCAAACCAATAGAGAACTACCTCTATAAATGCGGCAGATGTAGATTAAACTCAAGACTTTAATGCCAGTACTTTTATGATCCAGTTTGACTTGCCACATAGGCTACAGGACTCATTTCAGCTAAGATTGACAAAGAAGAAGAAAGTCGTGCAGCTTACAAAGAGATCAGAACACAACAGGTTTGCTGAAGGGAGGTAACTCAAAACAAATATAACTAAGTCTCAGCTATCTGGATTTTCTACAGAGATTATTTAATACTTTTCCGTGTGGTACTGCATTAAACATGCAGAGTTGGAGACTGGTAGAGGAGCTGTGACACCCGTAACGATCTTGCTCAAAAGAGATGGCAGCAGACAGCACGGGAAGTAAAAGCTGCAGACACCTTGGAAGTTACTAATGAAAACACTAAACAAAACCCAGCAGTCAGTCTTCTGCTTCATTTCTAACCAATTGACGGCTTGCACACAAAAAAGTAATTCTGGCAGCTGATGACAAAGTTGGGAAGCAATTTGAACATGAAGGTGTATTGAGTTATACACAGGCACCATGACCTTAAAGACTGGCACCGTAAGAGTTGAAAGTCACTAATATACAATGCACAATCCCAGCTGGAAAATAAACAAGCCCCAGCTAGACACTGGAGGATGAGCAGTGCCTGGGGCAGAAGGGCCCGGATGTGCTAGCCCATCCTAGTGCAAAATGGCTGAGCGTCACCACCCAGATGCAGCTGGGGAAAACACATGTTTCGTCCTGGGACTGCGTATTTCCAGAGAAACATTTCCAGTAGAGATAGGAAGTACAGGGAAGTACATAGGAGGCTCTGCTAAAATCCCATCTGGAAAACCACACAAGAGAGGCTGCCCTTTGTCAAAAACAAGGCACTAAACACAGGAAGGTGAAGGAGGATTTCCAGCATGGACAGCATGCACGGAGACTGGCACGCACAGTAAAGGGATGCAGGGAGATTACAGGGGATGCAATTGCTCCCTGTAAGACAGTAAAGATAACCACCAGGAAAGGAAATAAACCATTGGGGGCAAAAAAGGCTGCTGATACCAGAACAGGTATCAACTGGCCAGCAGTAAGTTTCAGCTGGAGCCTATCAGAACAGCAAAGCTCTGGGACAAGTTTTTGGTGACAATAAGCCTACGTGCTTAAGGAGGCCCTTGTTATGAGAAGGACATTACAGTACACTATCTGCTTTGTAGAGCTCCAACCATTTTTGTAGCTGTCCCATCTAAACATTCATGGAAGGGTCTATGAAATTACCACCAAAAGCAACCGGTTCAGTTCTCAGCGCTGGTGGAAGAAGATGATATATTGTGTGCAAGTCACAGGGTGCGGGGAAGCTGATTTATAGGGGAAACTGTAAATAGATACCGTAATCTTCCTGCATACCTAAAAGGCAAACAAGTATCTCCTAATTTAAAATAATAACATTAGCCATTTTGTCTACATTAAAATCCTTACATGCAACTATGGCAATAAAAAGTGTGCATTAAAAAAGCTCAGCAAGCCATGAACAGCACCTAATCCTACTTCCCAATATCCCACAAGAAAGAGGCCTGTAGAGCCGATGCAGCAGAGCATGCCACAGTTCAACAAATCGCATCATTCAAGTCAAGCTGCTCCTTGGAACAAACATGTTCTCTGGTCTTGAAGAGATTCTTGAACACTGCTTTCATGGCATATCAAAGGGATCTTTGCCTTTTCACTGCCTGTGCACAGCATCTCTCATGAAGACATTTTACTAAAACTCATAAAAATGAGGTCAAAGTCCCCAGAATGAAACACTGCACGTAGTAGGAGAATAATTTCTGGTTTGATACTAAAGCACAGCAGTGTTACATGAGAGAACAGGATTTGAAACAGAGTTTTGGTCTGATAACTGTTTACTGTACCGATGCCTGCATGAGAGGTACTTGAGCGCTAAAGAAAGAGAGAGGTCTTCCTATTTAGGATCCTCATCTTCTCCACTTAAAAGAATACATATATATAAAACATACATAAACATACAATGTAATTTAATATATTTTATAATACATTATGCACATTATATATTGTATAAAATATACAATACATTATGTATATAATATATATATACAGAAAATATATACTATATATAAAACATATATACACCATGAACTGGAAACAGCAAATTGCATCAAATTGCTTTTCTCATGTCTTCTAAGACTGAACAAACAGATTCAGGCAGTACATTGAGGATAAGAGAGTCACATTTAAGTACACACATATTTTTCCATTTCAGAAAAAGTCCTCCAATTAAACAGAAATGCATGTGCATGCACTTGAACACTTAAGCCGTTTCTTTCCTGCATAGTACCTTGCATTGAATTCGATATGATAACCTCCAAACCCATGTTCCTGTTAGCTACTTTGATACCACAGCTTTGAAAATATTCCCAGCGCTCTAACATTCAGGACATACAGGACTCGGAAGTGGACATACACAACTCTGTCTTCAGCATCATCTCACAAGTGGAACATTTAATTCCTTTCTTTTTCATTTGTTTGTTTCTTAATTATTTTTTTTTTTAATTAAAAAACTACTGAATCCATTTTCTGGTCAGTTTCCTTCCTCACCATAGGAAGTATTGGTATCTTTGATTCTCCCAATTATCTGCTTGACCCCACAGCTCAGTCCATTCCCTAAAGACCATCTTCCATATAATAATATCCCAATGTTGATGGAAGACTGACAGTTAGGGGAAAAAAAAAGAAAAAGAAAAAAGAAAACAAAAAGGCTTGATAATGTGTTTTTAATCACAAATTAACTTCCACCCTAGATGGTAAAACTGTTTTCATTGCAAACTTCTCTCAATGTCTTATAGAATCATATTGATGTTAACAGAACAGCTTCAGGAAATTACTTCCTGCCATCATTCTACTACTGTGCCCATCACCTTTTAGAAGGAGAGCCCCTAGAAACTAAATGCTTTCTTAATGATAACTGGAAATGATTGACTCTGAAAGTGCTTTCAGAAAAAGAGGTCTTCACTCATAGTAAGAAAATCTAGGAGAACGTCAATAAATCATGAGGGGTTTACAAACAATCAGAAATGGTTACCCCCCTCATAATGCAGAATTGAATTGTGAACCTTCTTGCCATGGCTCTTGTAGGTGGCTTAAGTAGACTGAAAAGAGAGGGACCAGAATTATTAATGAAATGGAAATTAGGAGGACATGACAGAGCAAATAGCAGTCATTGTGTTGACTGTAAATCCTTTTGTAAGGCATCCATTATAAGCCAGACTACTGACCAAGACAGACCAATGACAGACAGACTCTCTCCCGTTTCAAGAAGACTTCTGCAGCAAACAAAGCATTTCATTTTCCATTGCAACCTGCAACCAAACCCTTCAGTTTTGAG